TGCAAAGTGATGGCTTCTCTGTTGTTGCTGTCAGCCTTGAGTATGTCACATTTGGGGTCCTCCTGTCGTAAGCCCCAGGACCCCGAAAGCAAGGGAAAACAACTTCTATACAGAATTACCAGGAAAATGGGGCTATAACCAGCTATGAGGGTGATTCCTAGAGTTTGAATACAATAAAAATGCTTAGCACAAACTATTGAAGATAATTTTGTTTTTCTTAGATGATTCAAAAAAAGCCTCGGAGGTATTTCAGGGCTTTAGAATAGTTGTCAGTGACATTTTAGTTCAAATGTAGTTAACTGTGAGTATGGCAAGGGGTACTGGATTTGGAGTCAAAAGATCTAAACCAGGGGTCAGCAAACTATGGCCAAAAGGCCAAATTGAGCCCACTGCCTGTTTTTCCAAACGTGTTTTATTGAAACACATATTGTCTATGGCTGCTTTCATGCCACAATGGCAAGCTTGTCATGACAGAGACCAGAGGACCCACCAATCCTAAGCTACTTACGATCTAACCCTGTACAACAAAAGTTTGCCAATCCCTGATCTAGACTAAGATCCAGCTCTATAATATAGGGCAAATCACTGTTTTCTCTGATTTTCAGTTTCCACATCCATAAAATGGTGATTATCTCTCCCACGGGGTTATTGTGAGATTCAGATGCAACAGAATGGGTGGCAAAGCACTTTGGAAACGTAGAAGGTGGGCAGCACCTGATCTGTGCTGGAGGAGAACTTACCCAGACATCCTCTGTGCTTTCTTTTCCAATCCTTGGTGTTCACTTGTCATGCTCTCCCTTTCTCACAAATGGAAAAAGAATTCCCCAGGTACGCCACCTTCCCCCCACCCAAACACAAATCATTCTTCTAGAAATGGAGGATTGGTACAAACATATGTATCCTCTCTTTTGTCTATCAAATAGTTGTTGGGCACCTACTATGTTCAAGAAAGCAAACTTTTATAAACTAATTCTTGTGGGGAGAAGTGTTTGGTTTCCAAGGGGAGAAGTTGGTATACAAATTATTACAACAGAATAGAGATGTTGCCATGTCGGAGTAGGAAGACCCATCATGTGTTTGTGTGTGTGCATGTGCATATGTGCAATTTATAAAAATATTCAGGTTCAGATTTAAGAAAAGCTTGTTAAAATCATGAACCTCTTTATTCTAAAACACACTGAAGTGCCTTAAAATATAGCCATTATGTATAACTGTTTCCCCTTGGAAACTACACTCTAATTTTAAGTTTCCATCCCAAACTACCAAGAAAGCATGGTCACTGGGGATCCCTCATCCATGCCTGCTGGACAGGACTCTGAAGAAGTGGTAACACATGTCAGGGTGGTTGATCACCTGAGCATCAGGGAGCCAGGGACTTACTACAGTATATAAAATTTGGAGGCAGTCTTCACTTCATAATATCATCTGTTCTTTATTGATTTTATTTTTTATTGATGATTCAATAAACATAGCTTCAATGAATTAATGGTTTTATTTGACCAACTTGCTTTAAAAATAAACTCATAAATTGAAAACAAAAATAAAGTTAAAAAAATTTTCTGTTCTGAAAATATTGTTGCTATATTGCTGATAAAAGGAGATGTAGCTATTTGGGGGGAAAGGAGTAATAAGAGGACCTTATCTATTTCTGGGATGCAGATATGCATACACTTCGCTCTAGGCTCCAGACTGGGTCCCCTGGGCCTTCCTAGCATGGTGGCTCTCTTAGTCCCCATGGAAATAGTGTTGGTATTTTTTGTGAATGTGTTTCATCTACATTTTTCCATGTGCATTTAAATATAGAACTCACCAATGTATGCCCACCATACATACAGGTTAAAACATAGAATTATTCCTCATTTTACTCTCCCCTCCCCCCTACTAATAATTTTTGAAAGAAATTTTGGGTTTTTATATTTTCTACCTTAGGATTTAATCCTCTCTAGAGTGTTTTTAAAGAGACTGCTTAGTCTACTTAGGGGGTGCACCTGAGTGGCTCAGTCGGTTAAGCGTCCAACTCTTGATTTCAGCTCAGGTCATGATCTCAGCGTTTGTGAGATCAAGGCCCATGTCAGGCTCTGTGCTGTCAGCGAGGAACCTGCTTGGGATTCTCTCTCTTCTTTCCCTCTGCCCCTCCCCTGACTTGTGCACGTGCTCTCTTTCTCCCTCTCTCTCTCAAAATAAATAAATAAACATATTTTAAAAAGAGACTGCTTAGTTCCATCAAATATTTTTTATTAGACTTAACTGGACTCCTCCTATGTTGGCAAGAAGCACGTGAGGATGCCGTTTGTGAATGAGGCTCAGCACAGGTAGTTTCATTATGCTGCCAGTTTATCTCCTGTCTTTGCTGTCACAGGCAATGCTCTCCACCTCCGTCCCCCTCTGCTTGAATGCAGTGTTCTGTTTCAGAGTTTGTACCTCATTATTTCAAATCAAGGAGAATCTCTAACCTTTCCCCCCCTCTTCCTTTGAAACAGTGTTCATCTGTTTTTAGTTTTTCCCCAAAGCACTTTCATTCCTGATGTTAAGTGCAGTCTCTCTCTAAACCTAGAACAGGTGATGACAGCACAGTTGTGCTAATTGCAGTCAACCTGAGGTGATGGTGGGTTTGGGACTGATACAGGCAGATGGGGAGGTATGACACCGCTTGCTGAGCAGGAGTCCTTTCCTTCACTTGACCTTCAGAACCTTCCTAGGACCTGAAGCAAGATTCTGAACCAAAGGTAAACTATAGAATGTAAAAATCATAGCCACTATATTTATGTTAGATTTCTGTAACTATATGGTAATTAGAAAGATATAGTGTATCAGGGAATGTACACCACTGGTAGGCATGATCAATTTCACCATATACATTCCATCAGCATGACAAATCATGAACCATTTGGGTTTAGGTTCAGTGTTTGCAGTTAAGTGGTGAGTGTTTTGTCTATATTTTTTCATATTTCATTTTATTTTTATACAAATTCAGTTTAGCTTGATAGATTGACTGTCTGACTTGTTTCCTAGAACTCATAGCTAAGGTTTATCATTGAGATTATTGCTTTAAAAATGTCCTTCAAAGCATCTCAACTTGGTGCATGACTGTATAAAATAAATAATTGTAAGAATATTTTAGTGCTGCAGTTTTTAGGGCTTCTCTTATTTACAAGGAAAACGGAACTGATAAATTTGAATGATGAAAATGGATTTAATTAGGTGAATTTAGCTGGGCTTGATGAGGTGGAGCCAAATTTAGGATAAATGATATTTTTAAACGAATGTCTCTTGTATTTTAGGATTTGCAGAAGTTTCTGAGAACATGTGGTAGGGTCTTGTAATTCACACACACCTCTATCTCACACTTTTACTCCTGCACACACACACACACACACACACACACACATGACACGCAGAAGGGGCCCAGCAGCTGGAGTGTGCTCAGCATTCTCTCTTCTTCCTTCAGTTACTAATTCTGCCTATAAAGGTTATATCTGGCCAAGTTTGCTCCTGTCTTTCCTGTTCTGACCCTGTTATTCCAAAACACAGAGGAATATTCTAATGGAAAATAGTGTCATTTTGGGTTTTCCATTTTGGGGACAAAAATGGGCACTGAGCCATTCCTCATGATTCTCTTTGCTTGTGTCCTATAAAGGATAACAAAGTCACCCATTTTCTGATCCAGAACCCAACTTGTTTTCCCAGGTTCCCTCCTACAACCAACACAAACACAGACATTTACCAGCAAAACAGAAGCTGTTGGAAAGATTTTTTGGCTGCTGAAATGGGCTCCTGTCACCAGGACATGGCAGGCTTTTTGCTGTATTGTCTCCCAGCCCTGGCCCGGGTACTCCAGAAAGAGCTTTATGTAATCAGTCTTCCCTGACATGTGACGTCCTGTCATTTTCCTCCCCTTCGGCTCCGCTCCCGCCCACAAATCAATAACATTGCCTGGGAAGTTCAAGCTGGTTTTGCAGCCACCCTAAGCTCTATGTTTCTTAAAGGGTATGTCAAAAAATGTAAAGTTTCCTAATGATATTTCTGGCTGATGACACATGGCAGAGCTGATGGACTATTTATAATCAGTGGCACGATCGCAAGCACATTATTTTTATTTCACTTAGGGGGGAGCCCTGTCACTTGCTACCTCTCTTTGCAGACAAGTTGATGCCATCTCCACCTAAAGGAGCTAAATCCTCCTTGCAGAATGTGTTTGCACTCTCCCCTTTGTGTTAGGAGCTCCCCAGTTCTTTCTAATACAACCTTCCCCTTTTTCAGATTGTTCTCAGGTGGGGGGGGCGGGGAGGATAATGAGGGCAACCAATGATTTGTAGCAACTGCTTTAAATTCTGGTCATGCCTTCACTATAAATGTCTCAGTCTTTGCTGCTCAGATCCTGCTACATCCTTCTGAGTGTGGGCGTGGCTGGCATGACTGAGGCAGCAGACACCGCTACCGCATTCAGCGCTCGCCCCAGTTTTACAGGACTGAGCATAGCAGAGCTGTCTTTCGTTGAGCAGCTACTATATTCTAGGCAATGTACTTGGTAGTCATTTCGTACACAGTTTCTCATTAACCCTTTCAAACTTGTCTCTGGCAAGTGCTGTTATCTCCAGAGAAGACATGAGGGGTAGGGGTGGGAAATGGGACATCCAGTGGCTTCTCTCTACAGTCAAACAGCTGATAGGAAAAGCCCGTGACTCCAGTTCAGATCTAACAAAGCACACCTGCTCTTGTTTCACTACCTTCTCACCTCTTTCCAATTAAGTGGACACTTGTGTATGTGGATGTGCAGGGGCACTTACCCGTTCCCAATGTGGGCAGCTGCTGTGAGTTTATAGGTTGACCAAAGTGAGAGATGGAAGAATTGGAAACTTCACCTGGGGTAAACCCCAGTGTAAAAGAAACCATATATTGGAAGAGGGTTTTGACTCACTGCAATGGAAAGTATTACTGCTATAAAGATACTGAGCTCGCTCTCTCTCTCTTTCTCTCTCTTTTTTTAAATGTTTCCACAGGACAGAGTTTAGGGTATGGATTCGTTAACTATATTGATCCAAAGGATGCAGAGAAAGCCATCAATACTTTAAATGGACTCAGACTCCAGACCAAAACCATAAAGGTAAGAAGTGATATGCTGGCTCCTGATTGGGAGGCACTGGTTAAATTTCATTCCTTTGATCTCATAAATCCAGGCTATGAGGGAGCTGGAAGTGGTGTGCTTTATTTATGCAAAGGACATTTATCATCCACAGTGCTAAGTGGAGGGTGCAGATCATTACAAAGAATGAGATGCAGGCTAAGTAAAGGGAAGGGACGAGAGGGCAGATGGGGTGTCAGGGCCCACCAGGAAGGCCTGTGAGCCCAAGTCTGCATAGATGGCCAGAACTGAGCCATGGGAAGAAGCTGAGCCAGAGACGCTGTTCCACACAGAGGGAACAGCACATGAGAAGCTATGGAAATGAATGTAAACATTATGAGCGGGGAACAGCATATAGGATAGCATGGCCTAAATAGGGATGGGAGGTAGGCAGAGGCCTCATGTGGCAGGCGGAAACAATTTGGCTTTACCTAACCAGGGACAGGACCCTCCTAACTGAGACCAGAAAAGTAAAAAAAAAAAAAAAAAAAAAAAAAAAGGTTATAAATAAGCACTAGTAAAATAGGGATGGGGACTATCAAATTGTTAGGAGCATAATAAAGGAATGACAGAAAAAAATAACATTCGAGCAATTGGAAAATAATCGGAGCTATAGATAATATCTCAGGTGGGGTTGTTTTAAGTCGAAAAATAGAAACAGTTATCCAGAGCCTGCTTCTCCAGACAGAGGTTCTCTCTACTCTGTCGTCACTCTTTCGGTTCAGATTTCACCTTGTGGGGATCCTTCAGGAGGTGATGCTGTTTGCTTTGAGGGCCCCCTCTGACAGCCAGCGGTGGTCTCCTGGATGGAGTCTCCTCCTCCTCGGCCTCCCTTCCCCTTCTTCCCCCACCTCCAGGCAGCATTCTGCTTGGGGGCAGCTGCCAGCCCCTTAATGAGTCCCATCCTTCATAGCCTATTAAACCACAGGGAGGTGTCTCCTGGGCATTCTTATCCTCACGACAGCAGGTCTGACGCAAAGTAGGACAAAAGAGAACCTCTCCCAGAATGGAAATCTATAGATGGCACCAGCTCTCAGCGTATGAAAACACAAAAGCAGAACTTTTTAGTTCAACAGAGCTACTCTCCCAACATCAAGACTGACACAGGGACTATTGGTTTAAGACAATCTCAGCTAGGAAGTAATCAAAACAAAACAAAAACAAAAACCTTCTTGTTTTGGAATATATGATCTGATTGCGTTTCTTTCTTCCTTCCTTCTTCCTTTATTTTAAGCCGCTCTACTTTTGCAATTGAGTTTAGTTTATTTCCAAAGGTGATTGCTTTCTTGACCTCATACAGTCTGTGGTACACAAAGACCCCCAAATAGGCTTGATTCAGGCTGCCTCAGTCTCATCTTACAGTCAATCCCTATGAGTTATCTAATGGAGAAATAATTAAGAGTTGTTTAATTATGGGGTAGTCCTCTGAGAGGCAGGATTAATTTCTTCCAAAGGAAAAACATACCTATTTTTACGCTTTACATGAAGATGGGATGCTCATGTCCCTGACTGTTTGATGAGGCCACACTAGGTTGAGAGCTGTATTTGTGGGTTTGATTGATTTTTCTGTGCTATCCAGTTCAGCATTAGAATGTCAGACATTTACTCTTGCCTTGATGGACACCTTGACCTTGAACTGAGAAACATACTTTTTTTTTTTTCCTCTACAGTTTTCTTGAAACCCAAACCTTCCCAAGAGTTTAGGATCAAATCACCGGCCATCCATTTTACCTTTTTTTTTTTTTCTTTTTTAAATATTCCATGAAGCTGTTGGGTTTCTTGAAAGACTGATGGGACCCAGATTTCTGCTCTCAGAATGCACCCCCTGATCCATCATGCCATCAGAAGCAGTGCTTTGTCTAAGTGTATCTTACAGACAGGGAACATTGATTATTTTCTTTCTGCGGGAAGGCAGTCTGCCTTCTTCTCTCTTTATCCACTGCCCCACCCCGTCACCCACCCTGTGCTCACCCTGCATCAAACTGCTGCCAACACATTTGCACCCAGCAGTAACATGGGTTTCCGAAGCATTGTAGGATTCAAAATGCATGATGCCACGGCTGAATCAATAATTTCCATCCTCTACTACAAATGAAAATTTAATGTGCAAACCTAGGGATTTCAGCCCTTTCATTAAAGTAGTTTATTTGCCATACTAAAAATTAAGTTTGAGTGATAGGTTCCTTTATTAACTTTTCTTCCCTTTCCTAAAGGGACACAATGTTTAAGGTAAAAATCATATTAAAGGGGAGGGAAAAAAGCCAACCCTTTTCATGTGCTGTTAATAGTCTCATCATTTATTAATTTTTTAAAATTGCTTTTCTGCCGTTCAGGCCACTGTTTACTTCTGCTTCAGTCTGCTTTGATAAGTGACATGAGATTTATCTCTTTGCTCTGACTCCCAAGAAGGAATACATAACTTGCATATCTGGAAAAAACAAGTATCTTCCTGGAAGCATGCTTTACAGAGATCACCCCAGAACTATCTAGTACATGTTTGCAAGATGTGGTCAAGTTTGTCCCTCCTCACATTTCTGAAGCATTTCTGGAGTGCTTTGTGCAAAACACTCCACTCTTTTTTTTAAATTTTTATTTAAATTTATTTATTTATTTTGAGAGAGAGAGAGAGAGTGAGAGGGAGAAAAGGAGAGAAAGAACCCCAAGCAGGCTCTGCTCTGTCAGCACAGACTCCACTTGGGAGCTCAAACTTACAAACTGTGAGATCATGACCTGAGCCAAAACCAAGAGCCAGATGCTTAAGTGACTGAGCCACCCAGGCTCCCCAAAGCACTCTACTTCAAACGTAATGTATAACATAGCTGCATGCAAACCAAGAGTTAATTCTTAAATTGTTGTTGTGTTTTAATTCCTAAGTTTTAATGATTAACAGCTAGATTCAGGGTTCCATTCTGGAAAGCCCTGGGGGAAGGGTGGAGACTATAGTGAGGTGAAGAGCAATAAAAAGCCCAGGTACTCTTCGGCTACTGCTGATTGTTTAAGCCCAGATTGTTGCCAGATTTTCCAATTATTCAATAAAAAACGAAATCTAGAGGTTTTTTTATGCCAAATCTCTCAATTTGTAAAGGTTGGAAACCAACTTAAAAATTTTAAAGCATAGGTTGTCAGGTCAAACAAAACTTAATAGTTGACCTGTGGGCAAGCAGCTTGTGACTTCTGAAGTCAAATTTTAATACAATAAACACTGTTTTGCCTATTGGATGTGAATGATTCATTACTGGGCTCCTAGTGGTAGGTGCCCACAAATGATGGTTCCTGTTAACAACTATTCATTGTCCCTTTAGTAAGGTAGATGTAATGACTCTGTGCCAATACCAAGGAAATTATAGTAGTCTATAGCATGTAGTGATGTGTAGTACTATGTAGCATTACATAGTAATGCTACCTAATATTGAATATTTACTGTGTCCAACAGTATTCTAACCCCTTTACATGCTTGAGAGAATTTAATCCTTGAAACATCCCTAGGGCTAGATGCTTTACACACATTAACTCTACTTCTTAAGATAGCCCTATAGGAAGGTGCTATTCACTCCTTTGTTTCAGAGGCCAGGCCTCTGTCCTGAAAGAGAATACAGTCTTGGCCTAGACACAGCATCAAAGCAAAGAACGTGATTTGTTAATTAAACCCCTGTGAGTAGTATGGATGACTGCAGATAATGTGCCTATCTTGGTAAAACAAGTATATTTTTTGGAAGCATGTGTTACACTGATCTCCTAGGAACATCTAGTACATGTTTGCAGACATGACTACAGAGGAATTATTCTTTGGATTATAACTTGTTTAGTGGGAGGCAAGTGGCCAGGCTCAAAGATGAAGTGACCTGTCCAAAGGCACACGAGTGACCAGCAGCTGAGCTGAGCTAGCATCCAAAGGTCCTGTGAAGGACTCTGCCACAAGAGGAGATGCTTAATATGTGAGCATATGCTTGAAATAGTAATTATTATTTATTATAATTATACTACTAATAATAGTAATGCTACCTTATATTGAATATTTACTGTGTCCAATGGTACTGTAACCCCTTTACATGCTTGAGGATTGAATCCTTGGGGCTAGATGCTTTACACACATTAACTCTACTTCCTAAGATAGTCCTGTAAGAAGGTGCTATTCACTCCTTTGTACAGTTGAGAAAACTGAGGCCCAAAGAGGGTAGGAGACTTACCCAGGACCACACAGTTGGTCCTAGAGATTTGGAGTAAAGAAAGGTGTTTTAAAAATAACTATAGCAATAGGTTGTAATTGTTGGAAGGTCATACTGCCTGTTTGCTCAGCAGCACGTGCGTTCTATGAGATTGTTTGGGTCTGTATTTGGCTCTGCATGCATAGGTTATACTCCCTGGCATGGGAAGGAGATATAAAAAGCAAACAAATTATGTGGTTCCTCCAGGTTCTTCAGTAAGCAGACTTGTGGTTTGGGGCTTCTGCCATCAACCTGGGGACAGACCTGACTTCAATTTCTTCTTGAACCCCTGCTTTCCAGGCTCTGGGATTTAGGGAGATGGCAGTGCCCTGGGGTTTCTTCCATCCATGTGTGCTAGAGAGGCAGGGGGCATAGACCATGGGCTTTCATGTCTAGCCTATCAGACCAGCCTGGCACTCTACTTGGGAAACTGGGTCTCTTCTCAGGATTTCAACTCTGAGCACAGTGGAGATGATTTTCCCAGTTGAGAGTTTTGGGAGTGCTCTTTCTCGAGCTTTTTTCCTCGTTGGTCTCCAACAGAGACCACGTTAGTCTCTGGGACACATTGGATGAAATGGCTGTGGGTTCTGGGAAATGATTCCTGGTACTCCTTGACCCCACAGGGGATGACTGTCCCAGTCCTGGGCCCTCTCCTTTCATCTTGGGTTCTGAAACAGCAGCTTCTGAGTTCACACTGTAATGTCCACCTCTTACTCAGAAGCACTCCATTGAATCCAGCTGTAGTGGTCCAGCTCTTTGTTGCATTAATTAGTAACA